AAAATCTTCTTCCGTACCATTGCCTTATATGTAGCAAGGTTTTCCGGTACTTTCGCTCCATAAGCGAATATATTCGCTCCAGGAACAAATGCTACCGCATGCCATGTAAACTCTTACCAGGCGGAAGCTGAGAGACGGCGTAGATGAAAAGAACCGAGGTCGGTGTTTACGGAAAGATGAGGAACTGCTTTATCCGGGTTCGTGGGGAAACTCATTTGAAGCTTCCATTGGGTTGCTTCATATCATTCATGTTAGCTGGTGATTTATCCTCTTCGTCTTACCTGATATGAACGATTGAATATTAAAACGAAGTAGTCTTGAATACCCCATACTATCTAAATGAATGAACGAACCAAAGAAAGAAAAACAAACCTTCCCCAGATAACTTTTCATAGCCAATTTATAACTACTAGTAAAATACCCCGTCATAACACAACTGATCTTCCCCGCCAATCCCCCCTCCTCTCCATACCTCTCCCTCACATAATAAGGAAACACATCAGCCTTCGCATCATGATGATACACCTCCTTAAAATTTCCATCACTACATTTCCACGCATGACTCAACGTACTCGCAATAAATCCATTTGCATCAAGTCCCGAAATCACACTCGGATGAGCAGCCGCATCAGCAATATTCTTCCCCCGTTGAAATTCTACTTCATAAGCATATTTTCGACACGAGATTCCACGCTCCTGGGCCTGTTGACGACTGTCGGGTCGGAAAAAAGGTTCCCAGTAGTTTGTGACGCTGAATATGAGGTTTGCGCCTTGGAAAGCGGAGATTAGTGATGTTACGTCGTCTAGATCCGCTTTGACGATTTCAACGCCTTGCGCGGAGAGTGATTGTGATGCCGTGGACGGGGGATTTCGAGTTAAGCCACGAACTTTGTAGTTGGGGTCTTGGAGGAATCTTTGGGCGACGGAATTCCCTTGGTTGCCGGTGACTCCGATGATTACTAGTAGTTTAGTCATGGTGATGGCGATAGGAACTTTATTTGTTACACTCTACAGCTACTCGAGTACTTCTTAGATTATTTTGAAAACAGAGTTGAAAATACAAGTGGGGTGGGTTCCATAACCTTGATTTACCCCACAGTCATTCAATTTTTCAGCATCATCTTCAATGTCTGCAAGTGTCAGATGAGCATCGTACGTGAGTAATCTTTTATTCATGAACCTGCTGAGTAATCTAAATCTTCGCTGCGTAATCCTACCAGAGAAGTCTTGTTTCAATAATCTTTCCTGGGGATCCCTACCGCGTCATCCCTGGACAATTCCTAAACAGTAGTAAAGTTCATCTCCTTTCCTAACTTCATGATTTCAGTATGGTGCCAAGTGTGTTGAGATGATGAATCCCTTTTTGTTCTGAATCTGAATGAAAGTCCGGATGGAGTCTGGAACCAAACTCAGAATTAATCTGAGAATAGTTTTCCTAGAGATTTTACTGATTGCACATTTTTGGGAAGGTATAACTGGTGCGTCAACTAGACCTTGGTGATTTGGTTTAAGCAGGGTAGATTGGTCGGCACCAGGTCCTCCTTAGCTTGCAAAATCGTGACAACTATTTACTGGCATTGGAATGTCGATGTTGAACCGGAAGGTTAAAGGGGACAGCCAAAAAAAAATTTGTCGTGTGAAATGACCTGCTGCCCGCTTCAGGGGAAATGCGCCTTGTTCGCGGGCACAGCATACTACCAAGGAAGGCATCAGCATTTGTAGTAGTCACCCTAAAAAAGTAAAAGTATGAACTGAAGCTTAGCACGATTATGCCGAACAAGTTTGAATCGTTCCTGTGGTAGAGTCCTTACCGTATATACTTCATTATGCATGCCAATTATTTGAAATTTCAATCTGATAGGGATGTAAGCACACGAGCTCTTTCACAGCAGGTTTCTGTAAAAAGTATCCTGAGGTACAACCAATGTCGTGAGTCTTTACTTGGATGAAATGAATCTAATGCCCTTTACCCTATGGAGAGACGGATCAAAATTCGGTAATTCCCACGTGACGAGCTAAAAAGTTTCTGATGGTAATTTGAGAGAGCTATGCTTCGTTGCGAGAGAGAAACAGGCAGTCGTCGCAGGCTCCCCTTACATCTGTTCATCCCTGCCAATGATTGTGAGATAGCTTACAATGAACATCACATCTTTCCGGAAGCCGAGTCTCTCTTGGATTCAAGAAGCTGGTATGATAGCCTCAGAGAAACATTTCATTGGCAATGAGCAAGAATACGGCCGAAACCGTTTGGATTCCAACTGAGCACCAGATGTTACCATTCCTACAGCTTCATCTAACGTCGATGATAAAACCATTCACGAATTCTAGCTTTGGCTTTTTGCCACATCGGTTCATTCAGGAGCTGATTCCATCATGTGTCCTTAGAATCAACTTAATAATTCGGATGCCTGCACAAGTAGTAAAGCACGGAATGGACTTTTTAAGACAGAATTAAAGAGCACTGCACACTTGATATGCAGCTGGGAAGGTAGGAATGAACGTCGTCATCTCAAAATCTGAGATATGAAGAGCAAATGGTAAAAAATTTACAGCAGCCGTTGTCAATAGCTCGCTTTCCGAGTTGTGATTGAGGATATGGTGAGGAGAATTGTGGCTAGTTGGTATCAAACAGGCCAACATGGCAATAGTTATGGGTAATGTATAGCAAAGATAATGATAAGATCGCCAACACTCGAGTTTAATTTGATCATGAATAAAAGATACTGCTTGTATCGCTATCTCGTATTGAGGTATTGCGTGCATGCCATTCCACTTTGCGATACCAGGAAGCTCTTACTACACGCTTCCAACACCATGCTAGAAGATGGTTTCCGACCATAAAACAATATAGCTTTCCACGTGAAAGAATAGTAGTTTCTTATTGATCCCGCGAGCTCCAAAAAAAATGCTTGACGATGGTGTAAGCCGTAGACAATGTGCGTACAGGGCTTCATGGTGTTCACCCGGAATCTCGGATTCATCTTATCATAGG